GTCTGTTTTCACTTGTAGCGCTCATTTCAGATTTTAATCCAATGTTTCCAAAAGAGAGAAAAGGCAACTTTACTATTTAAAAACACAGATTTCATTCACAAACTCTGAGCAGTGTTCAGGCTATAAATCCTGAGGCCACACTGTTAAGTGTGTTCTCATCTCTTGTTCAGCTTTTTGCAGATCACCCCAATGCATCTCGACATGTTTTCCCTCTTTTATTCTCTTAAGAGTCGAGTGCTCTTTTCTTTTTGTCTGCCTACACTCCAGCGTGAGTGGTCTGGAGAGGAGGATGTGTCCAGCACAGCTCTCTCCCTGGGCAATGGAGCAGAGAGCCATCTGTCTGTCTGGCTGTCCGTCCGTCCACATCCTCAGATCCTATCAGTGTCTCTCACCTGCTAATGAAAAGCTAGCAGGTTCTCTGCTGCAGCCCTTAAAATGGACGACTCACCAGCACAGTGGAGGCTGCTGTGCACACTTGGCTGCCTCATCACTCTTCTTCTTTGTCTCTTTTCCTTCTCCCTGCAGCATAGTGCTGTTTTAATTAAAATTTTGCAAGGGTCCACTTGTCTACATCTGTGGCATTACCACAAATGTTAGCTGCAGCAACACTCTGAGTTCCTCCTCTTATAAATGAAATTCTGGCTTTTATTTTGAAAACTGCATTTCCTCCTTGCTTAGAAAAAAGGCAGTGCTAAGTTTTTCCTCCCCCCTCCCTGGCAGCCTGTGTTATGTAACACAAAATGAATGGCCTGGGCCTGACCACGCTATACGTTTGAAATGCAAAAGACGCAGCTTCGTTAATAATTGCCATAATTGTCTAAGTATGTGGAAACTGCTACACAAAATGGAGCAATGACTATTATCAGGCTGATAACCAATAATTACTTACAAACTCTGTGCTCATTAAGCAGCTCCTGTGGAGAAAGTGAGCTCAATATAGCCCTCCAGAATCCCCTCCCCTCGCCCACCAGGATCCTGCTGCTCTCCGTCTCCCTCTCGTTAGATCCCAGTTTCTCTCTTCTCTCTCTACATCCATATCCATGTTGTTCTCTTTCAATCAGTTTGTTTCTTCACTCAAGCCGTCTTTCTCTTTTCTCAGCTTTCTCGGTTCTCTGTCAGTGAGAGGTGATCTTTCTCACCTCTGCACATTTTCCTGCTAAATCACAACATCCTGTTTATTTATGTACAGGCCACGCTCCCTCCTCTGTCTGCTCTTTCTCTCCCTGAAAGATTAAGCTTCCCCTCTGCATCTCTTCTCATCTATCATCCTAATGTGGGCTACAAGAGGGAAAGAACAACAATTTGCAGAGAGAGAAGCAGCCACAGAAGGGCGAGGGGAGTGTTTAGATTGCCACTGTCGATCAAGTTCCAGTCTGTCACAGGATTTATTCACATAGCGCTGGTGTCACCGAAGCAGACCACATTTAACAGCTGATATCTGCAGAGGTACACAAACACTCCAACATGCAAACACCTACATGACATTTATGCACTTGTTTTCTTACTGCACAGACCTTGTTGACTGGAGCAGGAAAGGCGACAACAAATTAAATACCCATTGCAAACACTGCTACAAAGGTATGACATTACTAGGCTTTATGCAGATTAGCAGCAGTTCCCAGCAGTCTTGGTTAATAACCCAGGTTGTTCCCCTTTAAAACAATTTGGCGTCTTTTAAATTGCTTTGTTGGTTTGTTGTTAAAAGTGCTCATCAAACTGACATTAAAACTAACATGACTCACCTTTGTCCTCAATTGAATGTGGTTATTCTATGTTACTTATAAAGATTTTAAAATGCCCACTTCCTCCCCGCCTTCCCAGACCCTGAACCATCTTCCTCTGACTGTGGGAGGCTCCTGCAGCCACATGCTCTCACAGCTCGGCCTTCCAGCCTCCAACCACGACACACTTACACTCATCCACTCCACAGGGGAAGTGTTGAGCCTCGCTCGCCGATGTGAGAGTGAAAACACAGAAACATTCACCCTCCGCTATGCGGGTAGGGCTGTGTATACCTCCCCCAACCCCCCATCAGTTTCTCTCTTTTGCTGCTCCTCCCATTGGTGTTTTCTACTCGGTTGTGTCTCTCCCGTCCTCTCAAAGCACAGTTTCCCCTAAAGCGTCTTCAGTCTGTCGCTTTTGTTTCCGTTTATTTCTCTATCTGTGTATCTTTCTCTTGCTCCTGCTTTCTTTCCCATCCTCCCGTCAATATTAGTCTTTGTTCATCTGCCACTCTAATTCCCTTAGTCCTCGTCACTCCCCTGGTGTCGGCACGCTCTCTTGCAGAGATGCTGATGCTACGCTACTGTAGGTTTATAGTCTGCTGTTATTAGACATCCTTTGCTGTTAGTCAAGTGTTTTTCTGAAATCCTGTACAAATAGAATCCCATGTACCTTAATATAACATCTTAAAGCCATGAAAAATGTGTCAAAGCATCTCACACATCCCAGGTATTAATTTATTATTCATCATTCAGAATTAATGTCATGAAAAATGCATTAGTATATTATGTTATGCTTAACTGAATATGCTCTGTATACAATGGTAATTCTGTTATTTTTGAGAAACTTACTCTAAAATGCCATTTTACTCCCTGACTTCCCAGACCCTCTATATCCATCTTCATCTACTGTAAGAAGGCGACAGTGCCGGGCTCCTGGTAGCCATCATGTCTCCAGCTGCGACAGAGGGACTCTTCAGCTTGTCAATGTGAGGAGCACAGACACGGAAACATTCAAATGAGGTTTGTGAACAGCCAGGGGACATGGTAAAGCTTTTAGCGCCTAAAGATCCAGATGAAAAGAATTGGTGACAACTAAAACGGAGTTAAAAGGAAAGGGACGATCTCTGAATAAAAGCATGTTTGATTTCGTCTTTGCTGACTGTGAAAATAGCATGTACAGTTAGTCTCTGACCGTCCAAGTGGTCTAAAATATTGTATTGCAGGTTTATGGACAAAGTTGGCTTTTGATTAGTTATTAATTTATTAAATTCTTGTCTTGTACTAGCCATAAAAACCTTAAAATATTTCACAAATATAAATGCTTACCACATTTGGAGTACTCTATGTACTATATGGCTGGAGGCTGACTGAGGCGTCAGTATCGTGCCTGAGTAGACTGGCGTTACTGCGGACATGAAGGAGATGTGACTGTTGTATGCCAACTCAACGTGAGCGCCCTTTCCACCCCCCCTCAGTCCTGAGGGTATAGCTGGCCTTCCTTCAAAGAACGAAGCTTAAAATCGATCTCCGAAAGAGTGAAAGTGGCACCAGGCTGTGGTGGGCATCAGTCAACTAGTCGGTCAGCTAAGGGCCCCGCTGTGTCCCACTGCACAGAACAGGTTGCCGGAACCGGTTTCTACAAAGCTGAGTTGGAGGTTTAATGTAATATGAAGCCTCTGGGCCCTTTTAGTAATTTGGAGTCAACACACAAATATGCCCACGCACAACTGGAAAGATTTTCCATCCCTGCCTCTTCATGTACAAATGTGCTGAATGGAGGTGTGTAAGTATACATTTCTGTGTGTGCTTAGCTTCCCTGTTGAATCCTTCCCACTGCTCCCTCCTTCCCTTTCCTGATGTGTAGGCCAGTCAAAAACCCAGTGCAGCAATTCACAGCTTCTTTTAAATAACTGTCCATTTAAACTACAATCTTCCAGAGTGGCTCCCACCCACGCTACGCAGGGTGAAGCACGCAAATAACTGAACACACAGTGATCACCGAGTAAAGTGAGGAGTCGCTGATACTCCGCAGATCGTCCAGTCTGTTTCTTTGTGAGAACTTGTTTTATTCAAGGACACCATCACATGGTCACCATATGGCAGTGATGCAATATGAAGTTGTCCAGATGCCAGTAATGTAATGGTGCCTTAAGTCTGTGTGACTGGCTGCATTTCCAGCTGTTGGTGGAGATGGAAAACTAGCAAAGTGGTTTCAGCTATGGCATCCGTTGTGAGGCGATGAATGAGGGAGAGATTAAAACATACAGTAATATTGTGTTCTCGAGATGCTGGGGAATCAAACTAGATTATATCCTTAGAAAAACTGTCTTGCAAGTTGGGCTGATCGATTGAGGTGTTTACCTTTATAGATACAAGTGTTAAAGTGTATTCCACTCAATATCTAAAGTTTTGAAGTAAACAATAATGCAGAGCATCTTAATTAGGAGTTTACTTTTGGAGGCTTTTTCCTAGGAGTACCTTTATCTAAATTGTTTGGCACCTTCAACAAACTTGACCATTATTCAGAAAAATGAAGGTGAAAGCAAATAGATTTGCCATCAAATGCAGAGTGTGGATGTGAGCTGAAGCTAAATAAATGAAAAGCAGCAGTCCCTGGGCTGGTGGGCCGGAGGCTATTGCATTGCTAGCAGGCAAACAGCCACCCAGCTGCCCCAGCAGGGCAGGGAGGTGTCAGGCCGGCGATTGAATACCTGACAGCTGATTGAGCAGAGGGCTCTGCAGAAACCCTACAGCCTGTTACATAAGAGCATCGTAGCTGCCAAGCAAACCGCTCATCTTGAAATCAAGAGATGTTATAGCCAGTAGACAGTGCAATGCTGCATAATATGAAGTGTGTAAATACTGTGTATACAGTACACCAACTATAAAACATTTTCAATGAAAACAGTTGAAAGCAGTGAAGGAAGAATGAAATAAGGTTACAACAAAGTAACAAGCAGAATGAGGTAGGACTATCTTTTTATTTGTACTAAGTTGTGATTCAGCAGTTGCATTCTTAGCAGTATCATGAAATGTCTGTGTACATAGTGAGGAGGTTTAGGGAATTATTTAGTCACTTAATAATGTAGCTGTATATCTGTGACCTGTTTTCAAAGGTCTACGCCCTCAGCCGGAACAC